TTTTTTTTTTTTTTTTTTTTTTTCGGTACCAGGGATTGAACTCTGGTCCTTGCACTTACAAGGCAGGCCACTGAACTGCTGAGGTAAATCCCCGGCCCTAGAATAAGTCTTACAGGAAATAATAGAAAAAGAGAGTCACATACCCCTTTATTTCCAGAGCAAATAAGAACTAGCATGCGAGAGAAAATATAAGGTGCCTGCACCCATGCCACTAATGGAAACAATGTAATTTAAGTGAGACTACATACTGAGACAGGTTGGAGAATACCCGCTAAGTGTGACGAGCAGAAAGGTCACTGGCAGTGAAACTGTGGGAACCATTCTGAGTGGAGGAAGTGAGACTTGAAAGATGGCTTGAAAACAGGAATGTTTTCATAGGTGGGAGCTGAAAATAAACAAACACTACAAGGAATAGTTTTGAAGCAAAGATGATGATGGAAGGAACTGAAAGAGAAAATAAGCAATGGAAGACCTGTGTGAGTTAAAACTGCGAGGAGTTAGGAATCCTACTGCAAAACACAAAAACAAATTGCAGGTTATAGTTGTGTATTCTACGTGTTTAAAACAGATGTTTTGTGCTGGCTTTGGCAGCACATGCACTCAAATAGATGTTCTGTAAAAAAACAAAATAAAATAGATGCGCTATGTTATTATTTTTTATTTTGCATTTTTTATTGTACTGGGGATCTAACACGAGACCTTGTGCTTGAGAGGCAGGTGGCAGCACCCCTGAGCTAAATCCCTTGGCCCTGTGCTGGGTATTTCTGAGGACTCCCTTGATAACTGTGCTGAATTTTGCTCAGAGATGCAGTGGTGTATAAAACTCCACCGGCTCCTCTTTTCCTCCCTCGTTCCCTCACTTGAGCCCAGACTTGCATTGTGGTGTATTCGCTTTCCCTGCCTGCTTTTCCCATTTCTCTTACAGGTACTTCTGATAGACTTATTCCATGCTTAATCCCATTGTAGCATCTGTTTCTAGCAGGACACAGAGTAACACAATGTGACCCTACGTGATAAGGGCCTACGTAAAAATCACAGGAAATGGGATATTCAGGTAAATACAGAAAACAGATAGAGACAGTTTATCATATTTCATCCTATAAATCCTAGCGGTTTTTATGTTCAATCTTTATCGTAAGGTAAACTTTTTTTCTAATTCTCTCTCTGTGATCTTTGTTCAATGTCTATTGGAAAACAAAACAAACACTTCTTCAGGGTTTCCAAAGTTTTAATTTGTTCTAATAATTCATCATAAAGAGGAATACTTTTACTCAATAGACTCGATAAGTGAGTCGATTACATTTGTTAGTATTATCAAACTTTGAAAAGGTTATTTGGGAAAAATTATATTGCATGTTTCTACGACATGCTTTTAGGAAAAACAGGAAGGAAAAATAGAAAGTAGGAGGGTCTACATACCTTATTCGTATTTATATTAATTCCAACAAGAAAGACAAGTTCAGCAAGGAACAGGCTACAGCATAGATTTTTGTGAATTGTTGTCCTGGTGCTTTGAATTTCACTGAAGAACCAGAAGGTAAAAATACATATGGCAAGACAAATCAGTGAAATAATTATTCCTAGTTGAGTGATCCTTGTAAGAATATTATAATCTTTAACACCCTAAGGGAAAATAATAATAGTAAAGCTGTTAGGAGAATAACTCAGTAACTTGTCAAAGGAACTACAATGTGTAATTAACTTCTTTTTTTTTGGTGAGACATTAATCAAAATGTTCATAAAATATAAAAATACAAATGTGCACTTAGATGAGCAAATTTTTCTGACTTTGAAAATCCTCAATATCCAGAAAAGTCTAATATAAATCATGAAGAACTTTAACAGTACTGTGATTTTTTTTCTCCCCTCAGCACAGTATTTATTAGTGTGTGGTTTAACAATGTTATCGCCATCAGTTTCATGAGATTGGAAAGGCAATTCATTATTGTAATGGGAAAATCGTTAATTAAAACAGATTTATCAGTGGTATGTCCAAGTCTTATTCCTAAGCAGTGATTCATCTAAAACATATTAAACAAAGGTATAAGAAAAGTTGAATATCTAGAACACCAAAATGGTATATTTCATAGACTTTGAAGTGAGAAATATTGGTTTTATTCTAACTAGAAGAGTATTTATTTTCATGTACATAATACAGGCTATTTTGCTTAATTAACATCCTGAAAAAATTCATCTTTATTTTATTTCATTCAGATTTATTGGGGAATTTCTTAAACTTAATAATGGATTTTAAGTATGCATGGAAGTAAATCTATAATGTGATGAGCATTACGAGAAATACAAGAGATTATACAATTATATCATGTAAATAAGGTATTACTAAAGTAAAATACATATTATGAATTTATTCAATTTAGAGAGAGAGAGAGTTCACATTTGAAAATGTTGTGGGTTCCTATATTAGTTATGATATAATTTATAGTTAAATATTTTAGTTATAAAGATGCCACAACTTATTAGTCAGATATCAAATAGTTTGAGACACTCTGTCACTGGTAAAAAATGAACTTCCAATAAAAAGTTAAAGGCCCATATGATAAAATTTGTAAATGGCTGCTGAAAACAGCATAAAAAAATAATAGTCAATGGATAAAGGTTTCATTTAACATGTAATCTACAAGATAGTACTGACTTGCATTAGAAATAATCTAAATTCATATTAGATATGTTCAAAAGGCAGGGACAAAAGAGTAAAGAAATACAATATTGAAATTATTCGTATTTTAAATATGCTATTCATACCCAACAACAATTTGAAAATTCATTATTGTTTTAAATAACATGGAAAATATGATAAAAAACATAGGTTGATTTATATGTATGAAGTAGAAAATTGTCTTACAATTGAAGGTCCAGAAGACATCAAGATTGCAAAATGTGTCAGGTGATTACAACGGCAGGAGGTGTGGGTCTCATTTGAGTTTGTCACCTCACAGCCCTGTGGAGACCAGGTGCCATTCATGATATCGGATGAGTATTTCCAAAATACACACTGAGGATTATACTCTTCCGTGATCTGAAAAAGAAATATTTTACTGATGGGAAAAAGACAGTTAGACAGTACTTTATTGTTTTTGTCATATTTAGAATACTACATATATGATGATAAATGCCCCCAAAAGATCATAGAAAACTCCAGTCTCAGAGGAACCAGAATGACTCCAGAACCGGTGAACCACAGTCAGTGGGAAGTGTGGGCGTTTTTCAAAAAACAAGGTGTTAAGTGAGAGTCTGTTCATACACTGAATCTGCACCATTGTCTACCACATTTTTCTACTTCTCTTAACCTTTTCAGCCAGGTTAATGGCTTTAAGCATGAAAGGAAAACTAGTTGGCTCAAAAGAAATTGTTTTAGGCATTGATCTTGAGGCATTGGCATTGACCAATACCATGGTCACGAACTCGCCTGGTAAGAAGTCTCTAGTGAAGCACCCCACTGTCACAACCTACCAAGCACTCTGGGTCTAATGATCCAACATGAGTGGATGGTCATGAACCATTAGATACCTGACCGTAAGCTCTAAGAGGAAAGAGAGACAGGTTGGACAAAAGACAAACCAGGCAAAGGAAGTCAGAGGCGAGACCATGCAGAAAGCAGGAAATGGAATTCAAAATAACACAAATAGTATCTCAGAGAGATGAAATATTATGCTCCTTAGAAATAAAAGTCTGTCAGTGAAAATTATGTGTAAGGGAAAAATAAGCAGAAAAAAAGAAATAACAAATGGGCAAGAAAAGTTTTACCAGTTAGTGACTTAACTATAAAGATCAGCAAATAACAGGAAGAACAGAAAAGAGAACAGAGATACTACACAAGGAGAAATTTCCAAAGAAACAATACTAGAAAATTTACGGAACTGACACCTATACATTTTCAGACTATATAAGCACAAAAGGCTTACTACAATTAATGAAGAAAGAGCTGAACCAAAGTCTATCTCAAAGCTTTGGGGATACTAAGAATAATTTTAGATAAAAAAGTGCAAGAGAAAGGGAGAAAAAGAATGTGCATAAGACTATGAATTTTTATTAAAATGTTAATTGCATTCAATTTTTCCAGGTTAACCTCAAAAATTAGGAAGCACGTGTCAGATCTAGATTCTGAGACAGAGAAATTGTAACGCAAAACTTGCTTATCTACTCAAGCAGATATTGTAGAACATGCTACCAAACTACGTAAAGAAACTCAGAAAGTGAAAGCAGCTGGTTGGAGGAAAGGTGGAGACTCCCACAGGAGAAAGGAGCAATCACACCAAGGACGGTGTGACGCTCGGACATCGCAGAGCTCTGCAAGGACAGCTCTGAGACAACGGGTTAGCTGATGGATAATCATTATTATTGGATACACAGAAATCTTAACAAACTAAAATAGACAAATTCACGGGAAAATTATTCAGCCTCATAATTCAATCTGCTTCCTTTCTATTCTTCAAAACACTGAACACGTACTCTCTCCACCTAGCCATTACCATATTCTAGCCTTGACAAATTATCATTTGAAATTTTATAAATTTAGTTTTTGTTTTTAACAAAATAACTAAATATTTAGTGAGTTCTAACTATAGTTTTTATTATGTAGCTTTAGTTACACATAAGTTTGAAAATAGTTTGCATTAGAAATGAATAAGCAGTTTAATAAATACTGTAAATTCTCTATGATTTTATTTCAATCAACACTCAACTTCTTGCAAATGTCAAAGTGACAGATATTAACAAAGGACTTCCTTTATTCACAACTCATATTTATCTCTTTGGCTATGAAACTTTACTAATTTATTCATCAAAGGTATGAAAACTTCCAAAATAATGGTATACTTAAAATAAAACCAAAATATAGCCCAATATCAGAGAATCAAATATATAAATTCTTTGGTATTAATTAATACTTTTAAAAAGCATTGGAAATAAATATAAATATTTTGTAGAAATATTTATTGAAACCATTTTACTCCTTTAATTTTAAATCTGTATTTTTTAATTCTGAAGCTCGCATATAACTAATATCCCACAGTAAGTCCACTTCTCTCAATATTTCACAATCTTTTTTTATTCATTAAGTTTATTGGTACATTTTAGATATACAATATGATGACATTCATCATTGGGATCTTGTACCTTTACATGATCCATCTTGGTTCTTATTTTTCTCCGATTCTCTTGCCCTCCCTTCAACCCCTCCACTCCTCCCTATTTGCAAAGACTTTGTTTCCATTTTTCCCTTTTCTCCTGTTTGTTCCTTTCCCCGCCCCCTCCCACTTTCCCTTTCCAGTCTTAACAGGAAACACCAGAAATGTAACTTACCTTTGTGTGACTTAATGTAAAAGTTATTTTTTCAAGTTCATACAGTGTGGGTGGGTTTGAGTTAATTGAGACAGAAATCACTGAAGAGATTACTCTTTCTTGCTCTTCAGAATTGTGAGAAAATTGAGGTTCCAATGAGAAGTTGTCAGATGGTGAGAGCAAGGAGCCAATACTCTTATAATATAAAAATGCAACTGCAACATTGCCTACCGAATAAATACACAGTGAAATTCTTGTACAACAGAAATATATTTAATTTCTTAAAATAAGCATAAAAATTGAACAGACAAAAACTTAATACACATACTCAGATACTGAACTATGCGTTACAGTAAGGCCATATGTACATTATGAAACCATACTGAGACTTAAATGGTCTGATGTCTAGGAAATTGTCATGAACTGTAGCATTCCTTTATGTCCTAGATGTCATTTTGTCTTAGATAAATTTACATCCAAATCTTGACAGTGATCTAGAGTGTTGGGTATATTCATTTGGAAAATAAAATGTTGAGTTAGTATTTCCATGTGTAAGTACATGAATTGGAGGGGTACCAGGAGAGAATTATCACAGCTTATGGTATTAAGAAAGTTTAGAACTGAATGAGTAGTGACGTACCACTGACTTCAGCTTTATATTCACTGCAACGGCTCTTATTTAATACATATATATTTAATATGTAGTTATGTGGTGGCAAAGGAGAAAATGCATCACCTTGGAAGTCAGTCTTATATCTGAACCCCTGATGGTCCCCAAATGCAATGTACCAGCACATAAACCAATACAGTGGTGTCATAAGTACACACACTGATAATGCCAGCAGAAGGCAAATGACTACGATACAAAACTACAAACCTGCAAATCACACTAACAATATTCCTTTGATATGATTTTGTGAGACAGAAACTCCTGAACTATATTATTATTCTTGTTCTATAATTTTATCATACACTATAGAACAGCAAACCTTACTTAGCCCAGACACATTCCATAGAACATTTTTCTTGACATCCCAGTTTAGGAAACACACCAAGGATACATGGATTAATCTAACATGGTTGGGTTAGTAAAATTATGACTACAAATGATGACAACTGTCTTAGACTTTGCCAGGGATGAACCAAAACCTGAAATAGGATCTAAAAACCGATTTGGTTAACGTGAAGTCAAGTTGATGTAATACTGACTTTTCAGTGGTTACAGTGGAAGCCAGCCTAAAACAAAGTGAAGAATCAAAAAAAAGTTGGATTTTACATCCCTTTGAGTTATCATCCTATCTAAAGACAAATATTTATTTAAACTTAATTTTGGGGGGGTGTGGTACAAGGGGTTTCATAAAGAACTCTCCAAAGTCCCTTTTGATCATCTATATTATGAATGCAGTTTCTGTATTTCTTCATTGTCAACATTTTGAGCCTCTTCCAAGTTCCATGATTGCTCGTTAATCTAGGCCCAAGGCCTTGAGGTCTCCTCTTAAATCTATGCTTTCTTTCAGAAACTAGGGGTTCATTCATTAATATGGTTTTACAAAGTCAAACTATTTAAAAGAATAGGTAATACACGCTACTAAATTATCACCCATCCTTCCTCATTTTTCTCATTCTAATCTTTATGTCAGTTGATTTGCCCCTGATGTTCCCAATCTGGTAATACTTTCCCTATTTTAGTCTAAGAACAAGTTATATCCCTTTATTTAATAACTAGAACTTACATTTGAGCATTTATTTAGTGTAAAAAATTGAAGTGCTGTAGAGATTACTTCAAAAGTAATGCACGTATTTGTTAACGGGTTCCCACTCACTATTTGTCCTTAGATTTGTCTATTTTGTTTTGTGGGAATGACATTAATACTGTGCTCCATTCATGAGTTGCACTCCAGACCGCTAGAAACGATCAGGGTGGCAGAAGGTTGTGATTTTCTTCTTCCCAAGATCGGTTGTCCCAACACAGACTGTGCCGTGAACTCCCTAGAGAATCACTGCTCCAGAGCTGCTTTATTGAAAACCCCCTAAAGTTCTGTCTTCTAAAAATTTTATTTTTTGTTACTGTACGTCTTCATTGTGTAACAAATACTTCGATGGTGAGGAACTGAGACACACTTATACTGCATCTGATTGGTTTCATTTCCCTTTCCCTTCCCCGCCTTCCCAGCTCCAGGTTACCTCCCTGTTTCCTACTGTCTATCTATTCTTTCGCTCTTTAAATTACTTATATTTGGGATTTCTCATATCACAGAAATGATGTGATATCTAACCTCATGTGTCTGATTTATTTCACTTAGTGTTATGGTCTCAAGGTTCATCCATTTTTCTAGAAGTGACTCTAATCCCTCTTCATGGTTGAATAATACTGAATTGTGTATAGATACCATGTTTTCCTTAGTAATTCATCTATTGATGGGATATGAAACATTTCAAAGATTACCTATTATGAGTTGTGCAGCTTTAAACGCGGAATGCATGTGTCACTGTAATAAAACCTTCAGGAAGATACCCGGAGGAGGAACAGCTAGTCAGATGGGATTTCTACTTTTAGTTTTTTTCTCAATTGGGCTTTATAAGGCGCTCTATTTTTTCATCTAAATATTATTTCAATTTCATATGTATGTTGAAAACAAATGTAGAACCTCTTAACAAGTGTATTTTCTTTTTACTGAAAAAACCATAGTTTAGAACATCGAATCTTGTTCTCATTCTGAACACTGCCACGCACCTCTTCTAGACTTCAGTATATGTATAAAAAAAAAAAGACTCTGCCAGTAATTGCCCCATGGAACTCCTTGTATTTCTACTGAAGTACTTTTGATACCCTTTTTAAAAGTAATTCATGTATCTCATTAATAAATTCCGCCAGTAAATGAAGTCACACAAAGGTAGAGGAAATGATCAGTTTGTTAGATTTGCCCTTATGTTTTTAAAGTTCCAATCTTGAGGAAAACACATCTCATTCTGCTTTACTGAAAGCTAATATTACCGTCTCTTTCAAATGTCAGTTCACATGTGTTATCATTAAATGTAACAAAGCTACTATACAATCAGACAGCATTTCTTTGAGATATTAATTTCATGACAATTTCATCATCCATCACCAACATCGGATTCCCAACTCCTCCACACAACTCAATTTATAGTTGAAATTTCAACAGTTTAATGTTTTCTTTGGAGTTATGTCTAAATATTATATGCACATTTGCTTAATTAGAATATGGTATAAAGGTAACAATAAAAGATTCAATGACAGTGTGACTGTTATTTTCCCTTTGTTTTATAATCATATGTTACTTAGTTTTATGTAGAAAATAACAAGAAAGAAGAGAGAAGATAGTATTTATGGATGACAAAAAAATTTTACATCAATGCAATAAAAACACAACAAAGACATTCTTCTGAGAATGAATGTGAAGCATGTTTTTTAGTAATAAAGGAAACTCATCTCTTTATGAAATAGTATGTATACATGAGATCATGTTTGTTCCATATATTTTAAAATTTGTATCTAAGACCATCCACATATCCTTTGACAAAGTATTCTAAATCATGTTTTCCCTAGGTAACATGTTTATCTATATGAGAAATACTACAACAAAAACTACTATCAGCAGCAGAGATTTTCTAAGTGCATTGCTCTAAGAGAATAGATAAACAGTTAAATTAAGACAGCATAGGAGCTGGGGATTTAGTTTATTGGTTCCACTGCCTGCCTTGCTAGCGCAAGGTCCGGAGTTCGATCCCTAGTGCCAAATATAAAATAAAATAGTAGATACTTGCTTGACTCCAGTGAAGTGACCTGGGGGGAAACTTGCCTGGTTGATTTCTTTGTTAACTTACTCCTTACTATTTGGTATTCTACTAGTTAATTACAAGCATGGAGACAAATCCATCAACTTTGCATCTTAGTTTTATTTTCAATAAAACATTATTTGTATTTTTCTTCTTCACAAAATGACGAATCTAAATCTGCTATGAAGACAAAGGAGCCAGACGTTGATTGTCTGCTAAAATTCTCCTTAGGTATTTATATTAGAATGAAAATCTCACATATGATATTACACATATGGATATTATGTTTATAAACATCAAATATCTTACAGGAAAGCATAGATGTCATATGTACATATGATACAATCAAATGCATGGTAAGTATTTACTGTAAATTCCTTGATGTATTGTATGAAGACTGTTAATGTCCTACCTTCTAAGTCATAGGCAGCTTTTCTCTTTGGAAACACCTTTATATAATCTCCGTCCACATTCATATGGGGATGAGTATGTTTCATGTGATAGGAATCAAAGAAGAAAACTTTGAGAGCTGAAAAAAACCCACAAAATCATAAATTCTCTGAAATTAGTTAATACACAAAATCAGCATATCTATTTAGAAACAATTTCATTCATCATTATTGTATTTCAAATTCCTATTGGAAGCAAGTGAAATTAACCTATTCTGAACATGTTTGCATAGTATAATTTATCTATTAAAAATGTGACAAGTCATTTTTTAATTTCTCTATAGCACTTGTTATTTATTCTTTATAGAGTCAAATAAAAGACAAAATGTGGCTGTATGCAAGAGCATGTATACATAATTACTGAAGCAAAGACAAACAACTATAAGTCTTGGAGTATGTTACCTATAATTTAACTTACCTAAAGAGCAATGGAATTAAATTTTTGAATGATAATTTTCTCACCAGTACATTCCACCTTTTCATTCATTAACATAGTAGAAATGTAGAGCATCTTATATTAATCACAATACTTACAACCTTAATTTTGACAAATGATGAATCTTGATGAGATGATAGTTTTAGTACATCTACTACTTAGTAACAGGCTGTCACCCAGAAAATGCAATAAACAGTAAACCAATTATGCCAGAAAATGTATCCTGTCTCCTCCAAACAACTTTACGGTCATCTTAAATTTGATCCAACTTTCTGAACATTTTTAACTGTGGAATTGTAAATAGCAGGAAACTTTCTAATTTACTATGTTTCTTGCTTCATATTATCAAAAGGCAAAAGGTTTCTAAAGAGAAATTTAAATATATTTTGTCCAGAAGATTTGATGGAACTGTCATTGATCAAGGTAGTTCCCAGCAAGTCATGATACGTATTTCAATGCTAATCAGGAAGAAGAAAAGACCAGACATGATAGGAAGGAGGTATCAGTTATGCAGTCAGCCTTTTTTACTAGTCCTACTACTTTGCTAATGTTGCTTTTATAATATGATATATCATTCATGTTTGCATTGGAAAAAGCACTGCTGATTTTCTTAAAGCTTTATTAAAAACCTACACCAGGGTAGGGCAAAGGAAATAAGGGAAAAGAAAAAAAAATGAGAAAATGAAAAAATGGAAATAAAGTCTTTGTAAATAGGGAAGGGAGGAGGGGTGAAGAGAGGGCTGGGATAAGGGGAAAAGATGAGAACCAAGACCTGTCATGTAAAGGTACAAGATCCCAATGATGAATGTAACTGTATTCTATATCTAAAATGTACCAATAAACTCAATGAGAAAAAACAAACAAGAACCTACCCCATTATTTCTTGAAAACGGCATGCTTGGAAGACACTATTGCTTTGAAATTGGCCTTTGGTCTTACCTACATCAGTTGAATTAGTATCAAATTCAGTGGTCTTTTGGAAGTTCTGAGAAATCCTTAAGGTAGCTTGTTCAGCAGTATGCATCAATTTTGTAAGATGGGCTCTCCTGTGATTCGAAGATAATTTGTCCCAAAATTTAAATGTATCCTTTTGAATAAAATTATTCATGGTTTTCACAAATTCCTATTTAAAAAGGTATGACATTAAAAATATTGGAATCCTATACTAGTCATGAATACAGGAAAAATTGAAAGATCAATATACTGAAAGTTAAACATACTCACAGTAAGAGTTGAATTAGAAAAGCAGCCCTTGTTTGAGACAGTGTTATTCATGTAACCTAGTAGTGGGGATGATTTAGCTAATATTTCTATATATGTGATTATATCCATCAGTGAAATATCTGTCACAGAATTCCTATAGATTTTCCGTAGCAAAGTCACAGGTTCTTGTATGGGTCCAATCTGAGCAAAAATAAATATAGAAAAGGGAAGCAATTCAGAGCTCTGTTGGAGTTTTGCAAGAACAAAGCTTATATGCTAAATTTATCGAGAGTGGTGTTCTTGTCCTATATATAAATTACTAGACTAAAACCATAACATGCAGCACTGAAAGATGAATTTATTTCAAGAGATTGGGAAATAACTTAGGAAGCATAGAGGTGACTTAGGCAAAGGCACAGATCATATTTGAACGGATAATTTTCATAAAAAGGATGGGCTTAAAAATAACTCCCCATTTTCTAGTACAGAATTATATTTCAGCCAGTGAAGCTACCTTAATATTTAAACTCCTTAGTACTTATAAATATTGATATTCTAAGTAATAAATTATAACTTAATAACTTGAATTATATTTTAATCAACCAAAGAAAATTCTTTACTATGTGATTGAATGGAAATTTACTTTAGCTGACAGTGGATTGCTCATGTTGAGAGTCACACTTTCAATCACACGACAATAATTTTTTGAATGTCTTGCTTTATTGACTCTTTGAAGTACTCACTTTGAAGTAAAAAATCTAGTTGCGCTCAACTACGTTTTCTTGGAAAGGGGGGATGGGTCTGGAGTCGGAGTATATTTTTACTATTTAATTCAGGAACTTTATATGTTGAACATCAATATACAGTACACTGAATCGTGTAAAAGTAACAGTGAGCTCGGGTAGAAAAGTCTTCTTCAATACTTGGAGAGTTTTAAATTAATCCTCTCTGTGATGCAAGTGCAATACTTAAATCTCTACATAATAAATTTCAGCTGTCCATGAAGTTGAACTGCTGGTTACACTTTTTTGAATATAAGGTTGGAAGTGTTTTAACTGAGACCAAAATGATAAAATAAGATAAATTTAACTCAACTTGTCTACTTACTTTTTCTAAAGTTTTATTAACATTTGCAGCGATACAGGCATTGTCTAAGTAGCAGTTTGTGTTTACATTTTCTGTAGAAAAGGATACAGACGACACAGTAAGTGGAAGAAAACACATTTAACCAAGCTATTCACCTTGACCCCAACGACTTTCTTCACTAAAGCACATTCTTTAACACTTGCGTTTCCAGTTCAAGTTCACATTATGTCATATTTTACAGAAAACGCAAGCGCATAGTTTTACAGATGAGGGAATGAATATTAATGACATGCACGTGCTGTCTACAGTTTCCATTAACATGAAAAAATACCCTCCTCTTCTTAATTTCTTTTGTAAAGCCATACATGAATGCTGGCACATTTGTCAAAATGGAGCTGTTTGATACTTCACAACTGAAGAGCAAATATTTTATATAGTTCTTTGATGATACACTACATTTAATAGTATAGATTACCTTGGCAATAGGAGCCGTCATTTGGTGTGAACTGTGACTTTCCTGTGGGTGTGTGATAACCCTCTCTGCAGAAGCAGTGATACCCGCCGTTCACGTTTTCACATACTGCATGGTCACCACAGACCAGTGATTCACTGCACTCATCTATGTCTGGAAGAAGTGTTGAAAATTTAAGTCATGAAATTTAGTGCACATTAAGTCGCTGCTTTGTTGATAACCATATTTCATATAATTAGTGATTTCTTAACCAAGCTGCACAGGAGAGCAAAAAAACAAACAAAAAATATTACTATTTGGAAAAAGGCAGAGAAAACATAGTTTTTAACTGTATATAGTTTTTAACTCTAAATTTGGCCAATCTATGTTGACAGAGTATTGAAAATGTTATTCATGCACCAAAGTCTCAAATTGCTTTTTGAATAGCATAATTAATCAACGAAGTCATTAAAGTAATTTCCCTCCTTTCTGATGAAACAGTCCTAATTTAATAAAGAATCAATTTAAAATAATATACTTAAAAGTATTTGTCTTCTAGTCTTAAGATAAATTGATTATAACAATTCAGTTTAGAGTGATTTGGAATATAGAAGAATAAGTTACTTCCATTTCAAGGCTTTGTTTTTATACCTGTGTTAAACTAGGAACTAATACATAGCAGGATGTGTGATTAACTGCCTTAAAATGTACAACTTATTGTTTTTGTTAACATTATATTTTAGTATAATTCTTAATGCACAATCATTGTAGATGAAATCTAGATAAAATAATATATTATATAGAATTAAGTCATAGATTTTCAGCAAAGATAATATTGAAACCATAGTGAAGGTGCTAGGTTTCAGGCTCACATCATTTATATTCTTAATTTAAAATTTTATGTACTACAGTGAAATATGCCTTAAAGTTATAAGTACAATATAAATTCTTTGCCAGGATAGGGAATGATTCCAAATAATTAAACAATCCAGATTTTTACCTGAAATAAAAAGTTTTTTGTGTTCCTAATCCATCTCTGATCTCTCAGAGATAACTCCTATTAGTTTAATAAATGAAGCTGTAATTTTAAGTTTAAATTTGATCTTTAAAAAACTAACAGGATGGCACAGTACTGTTGAACAAGTATAAAAAAGAAAGGAGTGATCAAAATCTAATTTAAAGTGTTGTCAAGGTAGTTACCTTAAATGCAGCTGGTCCTAACTTCTCACTTAAAAATACAGTGAAAGCACATAAAAACATCCCAAGTCACACTGCCCCAAACCAAAATTGAAAGAAAATCTTTTTCTGGAGTCTTGAAGAAATTTCTATGGGCTAGGAAACTAGTGATCCTAGGTTTTAAAAGAATTAACATGAAAAAAGGTTAGAAAACCCCCTTTCCTCTGACAAATCTACGTTTTCATGGTATTCACGATACGTACTCTCCAGAAACCCAAGTGCACTGCTGCTACACAAACAGCAGTGCTGCTCTAGCGTCCTCATTCCCATTTCCCTCATCTCTGTGTATTTATAAAAATTACCATTCCACAAAAACAAACGGACAAAAAACAATGTAGGAGACCAACAGGGATACCGAGAATTGTCAAGGAAAACACTAGGCTGGGCTAAAGACCAAAAGAATGCAGGTGCTGGTGCAGACGGGGGTTATTATTTTTTATGAAGTGAGACAAAATTATGGGACTTCAGCCAAGATGAGTCTTTTTTGGAGCAGAGCTGTTGAAGTAGCATGTGCTGAACCCAAATGAAAAAATGCACTAAAGAAAATATGAACAGACCCATGAAGTATCTCAACAGCTTATTTTGTGGGTGAGGCAATATACCTTTTGCACATGCACATTTTGTAGTTTTTAGATGCATTATGTGGACCCTGGAATGAGTTGTTGATTTCTCTCAATTTCAAAATTATCTAATTGTGTAATACTATTGGGAACTTCATCCCAACACCAATCTCTGCAACATAAACATCTTGGTTCTATAAACTCAATTTCACTTTGGGTTAAAATATACATAATTTTGATGCTTTTAACTGACTTTGTTTCAGATTTTCTCTATGTTCCCTTCACACCCTTGGGGGTTTTTGTTGGGATCTCCCCTCTAAATTCAAGTCCTCCCTCCGCTATTTAGCTTGTTGCTATCTCAGAAGCTTGGACCAAGTATGGTATTTCACTGTCTGAATCCATGAAATAAACATAACCAGTAGTATAGTAGGATGCTAGCATTCCATATTAAAGTTATGCAAATTATTACAGTCAGACTCCAAATTTTAGGAAAGAATATTAAGTATCTCATCAGCTGCTATTTGGTTCATACTTTTGTTTCCATAATGCTTTACTAAAATGTGGAAGTGAGGTCCACTGATATTGTCACTGTGGACCACCATGGTAGAGTTTATAGAATTAACCCAATAATGTGGGGTAACTACCAAAACTAGTTGCGTACCTAGATAGTGAAAAGAGCTTTCACAATCATCAGCACATCACTCTGTGCTGTTTATTTTTAACCTAGTAAAACAGACAAAACCATGCAACACTGAAAAAGCATCCCAGTTCAGAATGGGACGAACCTGGCCCAGCTAGAATGAAGAAATTTTATTTAACTTGTGGCTGTCACATTCATTAGTTGCGTGACCTTGGTCAACACCTTAAATGATCCTAACTCAAGAGAGTTCTATTATATGAGAAAAAAGAAAAGAGAAAATGTATAGATTGGTGCCTAGGGTATAGTAAGTACCTGATACTTGTATCAGTAAGTACCTGATACAAGTACCTGATTGGAAAATCAGGACTGGCGACACTACATGCTTCCTTAATAGTAAGGGCTAAGGGCACAAGTAAGTTTGGAGATACAGTGTGGTAAATTTCTTTCTAGGTTGCCCTGTCTTGGAAAATCCCAACGCCACACAGGAGAAAAACAATATCCATTTTAAAGAAAGCTAAATTACTACTTTGTATTTAAGTCAGGCTAGGATCGACAGATCAGATTTAATAATTGAGCCCTTTCCCACTGTAAAATTCTCACTAAACTTTATATTAATAATTCAATATTACTAAATGCAAGCACATCATTAACAATCTTAATTCATTTATTATTTTTTCATTAATAAAGTTATGTTTGCATTCTATGTCCACAATTAGTCAACCAGAAGTTTTTCACCATCTTTTAAAACGTGATTTAATGGTTATCATCACATGATGCTTATGATTATTATTAATAATGGGTATTTAAAATTTGTAACTCATAGACTGAAAAAAGATAAAATATTCCATTATGAAAAGTAATTTGCTAAGACAACTTTCAATTTTAGAATTATTTAAAAACAGAAGGGGAAAAATAAAAAATTCCACAGAATACCCAAGGCAGGTAGAACATACAAATTTCAGTGGATTAACACTACTCTAAAGCACATAGTGAAAGGAAGAAATTTCCGACTGCTTCTCATTTTCTCTTTGGAGAAGCACTATTAGATGCTTGGGTTTCCATATTTGTGGAATTCTGGCCAGGATTTAGGAGCTGGTCATTTGACATTCTGTTTTGCTGTGATTTTGGGGGCGGGATGTGCAGGGTAAAATTGCACGAGGCTAAACGTCACCCAAAACCTCTGTGACAAGTTAGTTATCTTATCTGTTCAAAACAGCAACTGAATGTGGATTACAGGTAAAACATTCTACTTTGGCCATATTTTGTCCCTAACTGGAGTCTTACATTGTCTATTTATTGAAGTCATAATGACTATAATTACCAGACATGTCATATTTAAGGATCAGCTAAAATTTCAAATCAGAAGGCTGATACACTAAAAGAGGAAATACATTTTTGGTACTCTGTTCCAATTCTCTGAGGGTTACTATAGTGCACAGTAAAAATTCTTATAGGACTGGAGAACAAAAAGAAGTAGCTGCACAGTTTCTCAAAAAAGCTTAATCTTTAAGGACAACAAAAATTGGTGAGAAATAACATTTTTCCAGAGAATGAGGTTTTCACTGAATAAACCACCAAACAAAACAGGTAGAAACAGGAAGACTCTGTGCTAGGTGTTATGCTTTGATATAGTTATTGTGTTTACTGATTAATTAATGTAGCTAAAAAAGGAATTAGCAAAAATTTAGGACCATTCTCCATAGAAAGTATCTCCATAGAAAATAATATTGGGAGAAGGAGTCTGAAATTACAAGTATACTTCACTTCTTTAAAATGCTGGCATTCAATCATAAGTAGGTAGGTTTTCTCTGGTGTTTGTGACTCAGTTTCTTCTAGAGTAAAAATTCTCTACTTTGTAAGGAACATAAAGAAATAAAGTGTTTTATGAATTCAAGAATTTTATGACTAAACGGGATCAGATGAAAATACAGTTTCCTAATGGGGATAAGATGGAGTAGGAAGGCACAAAGTCTTAATAAATTACAGCAATTAATATGTTATAAATGAGACTCTTCCCTAACGGAACTTGAGAAGTTCACTAAAGCCAAGATATGTTGTAAGTAGATTATCGATGAGCAGAGACTTGAGAGGTACCATAAATTTTCCAAGCAGAATGTCACAGATTCCTAGATCTTAAATACATTGTAATGCAGCCAGGGATTTAGCTCAGCAGTTTGGTGGCCTGCCTTGTAAGAACAAGGACCCAAGTTCAATCCCCAGTACCCCCCCAAAAAAAACCAAAACCAAACCAAAACAAAACAAAAACATTGTAATGCAATATTCCCATACATTTTGTAAGCAGTAAAGATAAAATTATTGTTGAATTAGAATATTCACTGTTATCTTATATTTTAAATCATGTGTATTCCATTATGTTGAGTAAATCAGTGTGAAATGTAAATGATCCACCCATTAAGGTTTCCTGTGTAAGTAACAATGGCTTTCTAGATATAAGACTGTGATTCTAGCCTGACTTTTATGTTAAATGTATAAACCTCGAGTACTTTACTTGGCTATAAAATGAGAAGAACAAAATTCCTGGCAGAAAAAGTATGAAGCATAAGTTTAGAAGACTGGATGATTTCTTTGATATAGATATTTTACCAATAAATTTTCTCTGAACACTGTTTCCTATTCACCATGTTTTAATATTACCAGACTTCTCCCTCGCTTGCTAATGAAAATTCCACTAGAGAAACAATCAAAATCTTTAGTGTTATCTAGATTAACTTTAATACCTTTCTTTATCTAACTATGTAAGGTTCAACCAATCCATTTTTCTTGACTATTTTTTTTTGGAATGTGGTTAAATTCTCAGGGCTTTGTTTATCTATTAATTTTTTACATTATCAGTCATAATTAATTATACAAGATGATTATCATTTATTCTTAAAATTTGTTTCAAAAATAGTACATATCTTTTCCTTATATACTTGGTAAATATTCCATAATTATCAACAATGCAGCATTGTAAAAATTAAAGAATTAGTGAAGTATCGGAAAGTGACTAAAAACTAGGGCTCAGGCTAGGGATTTAGCTCAGTGGTGCCGCAGCCTGCCTCGCAAGCACAGGTCCCAAGTTCGATCCCCGGTACCCCCCCAAAATAAAAAAATAAAATAAAGTAAAATAAAAATACAATAAAATCTAGGGTTCAATTGCAGTGTGGTAGAAATTGATTCAAATATTATTGCACCTGTAGGGGAAATAAACAATAAGTTATGGACTCTGGACACAAATCTTAGGTTAGATAATTGAACTCACCTATGCAGATGGTTCCATCATTAGTGATAAACCTGTCTTGGTTACTGCTGGATCTAAACCCTGGAGCACACATACAGAAATAACTTCCCACTGTATTAGTGCAGTTGGCATTTTCACCACAGGACTGGGTTAAATTTCCACACTCATTGTCATCTGTGAAAATATCAATGTAAAATATTATTTTATACAAATTGTTATGAATTCCTTGTATTTTCTCTCTGTATTTGAGAATTGTGACTATTAAATAGTTGAAGGTAAGGTGAGGTTTATTTCAAAGAAAATCCTAAAGAATTCACTTTCCATTCATGATTTATAACGTCACACTTTATAATTGCAAAGCAAAATAAGAACTTTTAATTCAAAAGCTTTGTACATAACTATCAAGTCTATACTAGTATAATTTTCAAATTTTATGTAACTTAATTACAAAAATTTCAATAATTACATTTTGAATTGTGAGTTTGTAATATTTTTTACTCATTTAAAAGCATAAAATAAGGTGAAAATAAAGAATCAGAGATCATGAATTTTTTTATCATGTTCTGTTTAGTCATCATTTTTTCCCTAGCAGAATTTTGCATTATTGGGTCTTAATCTCTTTATTCTTTAAACATCTATTCAGTACAATTTGAATTATTCTCATGCTGTCTGTATACATGGGTGTATGTACATACAAAATACCCTTACACAAATAAATGATTTTATGATCCTTATCCTTATAGTCTTAGAACTTACCAGAAGAGATACAGGTTCAGAGACCCTTTTTACAAATCAGGATGCATATTTATATTATCTATCAAATAAGTGAATTAGAAACATTCTCAGAGGTGATTGCAATGTTCTGGGGAGAAAAAATATTTTGAGTCAACGTGAGACCCTGCTGGAATTGAATAACGTCTCTCAAAAAGATGTGTTCCAGTCCCATCCCTGAGAGTTTTCACAGTGACCCTGTTTGGAAACAGGAACTTGGGCAGATGTGATCAAATTAAAATGGGACCAGGCCAGATTAGGGTGGGGCCCAGGTTTCCATACAGTTTGGACACAGAGACAGAGGACAAACCTGTGTGAAGGAAGAGGTAGAGACTGAAAGGATGTGGCTGCCAGCTGAAGACTGGAGAAGAAAAGCACACAGTCACTACAAAGCTGGGAAGAGACAAGGCAGGAATCTTCCTTGGACCCTTTGGAGGGAACACGGCCTGTCAGCCCTGATTCTAGACTGCTAGCCTCTACCGTGGTGAGAGATTAAAGTACTATTGTTTTAAACCATTGAGTTGCAGTAACCTAGGAAATGATAGACTTACACTGCTTTAGTCACGTTAGGCAGAGGTACAGTCCTGAGTGTGACTGTGACTTTTCTCAATGCAGGCAGTAATTGGAGCACATGAAGAGTTATTGTAGAGGAATCATTGTAAAAACAGGTTAGGTTTGGAAAATATATGGAATAAAATTATTTTTAAGGAATTAAGTTTCTTTCTAAAGGGTGAGTTGTATAACATTTAGTATAAGTATAGCCTATTGCACACATAATATGCAATAATTAGTTGCATATTTTTCTAAATCCTTTATAAATACAATTTAAACCTTACAGAAGTGTAAGAGGTAAGCACTGTCTTTTCTCACTGATGAGAAAAATAGAGCAGAGCTAGCCTAGCTTCGTAGTTTAGATTTTTCTTTTTGCTCTGAGTGTTGTGGCATGAGACCCCGTTCTACATTTCCATAGCTACCTTTCTGCTGTATTGAGTGTGTATCACTAATCCCTTTAAAACTTCTAGTCCCTAGGATGTGGTCATTTTATTCTTGTGTAGATAGAAGATGACAGAGGGCATAAGGACTTTTCCCAGAGGCCAGAAACTGAGACATACAAAACCAAAGTGGGACTCTCAAAAGCTGGTACAGCGTAGGCCAGGCAGGAACTTTAGTTGGACTCTACCACATATCAGATTTAGAAGTTGGTGACACTTGAGAACTTGAGGCAATTTATTGAAAGGATCTAGCTTTTAAAAAAAATTACAATATTTAAAACACTGTGTTGAGAATTGGTATTTGTTCAGGAAGTTTTCTGCTTGTTTGGAGGAATTTAGAAATGTTGATGAAAATGACAATGAGATAAATTGTAAATGATCTTATACAAACCACTGAAAGTTAGTACTTCAACAATCTGCATATGTATAAACTAAGGAAGAAGAAATATATATTTATGTACACAACGGAAATGAAACCATTCATTACAGTTAATGGAGTAGCTCATAAGTTGAACAAAGGCCACCTAACTCAAGCCTAAAGAAGAATATTTTAGCTGTATTGAGTTTGATTCAATCATTTAGTTACTCAAATATTTATGGAGTTTCTCAATTCCCACATGTGAATGTCTATACTGGAAAATAAGTAGAAATTAATCAAAAAGTCAAGATCTCTGCCCTCCTGTCAGAGTTCACATTCTAAAGGCAAGTTAATGGAGAAACGTATAATTGAGTTTTTATTAAAATAAAAGTTTTCATTTATATCTCTGAATTTGACTCCTTTCACAGCATCCTGGGAAAAGTTTACATTAAACTTTAAAAGAAACTGTGCTCTCAGATCAGTTATTGGTAATACAGAAAACGATGAGGATTGTATCCCTTGTGGAGCATAGCTGCAAAAATTATATGCAAAACTGCAAAGAAAAAGGACTCACTAGGTCTGAGGTATTGGTCAGAATCCAAGAAAATGAAACACTTTGTGCCACCTGATTGTGTTTCTAAAAATAAATTAACATACCAATACGCTATTTAATTCCCATAGAATTTTACTCGTCTGGGGTAACCTCTTCATATGTAGGAAGAACTTGACACTGATTTTTGTGTGTCTCCCTCCTGTGTAGCTTTGGGCTCTTGGCCTCTCAGCTCCCTTATCAAGAATTTGGAAATAAAAATATTTCCTTATGTCCCAAATCTCCTGGATTGGATATGTAACCTGGTCCTTCTCTCCCCTAAAGGTCATACATAAATCTTGTTCAGTAGCATACCACTTATCTGGAAGTAACTTCCTCTCTTCCCTCAAGATAGGAGAGAGATAGGCAGGGAATTATCTTTGTGAAGTAAGTTATATATAAATATGAATTATTTAAATAGCCTTAAACTTTGCGGTGTCCAGCTTCATTATAATTAATCTTCAAGGAGAAAATTTCTCCAAAGAGAGATAATTTGGAAAAATAAAACCCTGCTTTCTTTGTGCTTTTCTCACTAACATCCATATCAGCCGGCCAGCCAGACTACTTACTCAGGGTTACTGCACACTTAATTTTTCTTGCGGGATTATAAAAATATATTTAGATTAAGGTATTGCTTGAAAACACATTATAACAAACTTTGAGGTAAGTTTTAAAATGTTATTGAAAACTGTTAATAGGGAGCGATATTTGGCATTCTGTCACCAACACTGCTTGCTGGTTCACCTCTGGCATGCTGAGTACAAGAACAAAGGCACATATATAGCCCCTAACTTAATGGGATCCATGGCAATTGGAAAAGATGTATGAAGACTCAAATTAGTACTCTGTAGTGTGGGCAGCAAATAAAAGAGGTATTTAGTAGTGCAGAGGCAACGCAGAGAAAGCAATGGCTTCCTGGGGTCATTTTCATTATAAAAGAGTGAAGATTATTTGCAGTAAAGGCTTTGAAGAGAAAGCAATGCTTGCGCCAGGCATTTCAGTAAAAGCAAGAGTTTAGGCAAAGAAAAGGAGCCTAGACAATACATTCGGGCAAAGAAAAGAAAAGTTCACTCAAATACCGAGAGGCCCCCAGGAGCAGCATAATTCAGAGGAAAATTGCACTGTTGAACACCTGGTATGAGGGTAGAGCAGGTAAGCATTGTTAAAACAGGAAACGCATGGAGAGAATCTGGAACTATTGGTGTGGGGTCATGGGTGGCTATCAACAGAGTCTGCGTAGTAGAATGTATGGCTGGATCAGGGTTGCAGAACAAGTTTTGGAATATAAGGAAAACTAGCAAAGATCCAGATAGATCTAGTGAAACGCTGTAAGACTTGAAGAATTAACCAAACAGGGTTAAGAAGAAACAGGTCATGCTTCAGAAGTAATGTTAAAAGGTAGTGATCTGGGGAAGAGAAGAGGAAGAAAGTGGGTAGCATGGGTGATGGCTAAGTTCAGTTTTTTAATATTATTTTCAGTTTCGTCTATTCAGATTATTTTCATAATAAAATAACACAAAAATGTTAGTGAGCCTTGGAGACTGGATATTTCAGTTGGCTGGAGAATGAAGAGATCCAGAAATGATCATGAGGCTCCAAGAGGGTGGATAAATGGACCGCTTACCAGGAGTGGGAGGAGCAAGTTAAGTTCTTGCAAGTCAAGACAGTGAGTCCACTTTTGGACTTGGGAAGATTGATGTGCCTCATAATTGAGAACATTCAGATAGGAGTATTAACAGATACAGCGTCAGCTATACAGCCAGAGGTTCTGCACCCTGGAGGGAGAGCTGAGGACTCCCTCCCACAGGCTGTCAGACCCAAGGACATGGCATTTACTCAGCTTCACTGCAAAGGGCCACTTGCTCTTTCCTTTGTACCCATCTTTACGGGACAGGACTGCACTTCTTTTAGCTCCTACTTCAATCTCTGTTCAATGGAACGGAGTTGAGGGCATTACTGCACCCTTATCTTGCCTTCCTTCTCTCCTGTTTCTCTTTGTTTGCTTCATTATCCAGTAAGTGCTAGGTGATAAGAGAAGTGAGGATAAGATGCAAGGATGAAGAAGAAGGCCCAGGGATGCCCCTTCACTTTGCTTTCAGCACTTGTCAGAAGAATCCTTGGAGCTCTTTGCTGTTCAGCCCAGGCGAGGCTTCGAAATACTAAACAGACCTATGTGTCTGAAATGTTTTGGACAGTTTGTTCCTGGGGTTTCTGGTTAGTTACCTGCTTAGTTATCTTGCGTCAGCAACTACATCAGCATGATTTACACCTGCCCCTCTTAAAGAAAAAAAAGGAAGAAGCTTTTCAGACACTTTGCTAAATGGTACATTTTAATTATTTAATTATTGCAAAGGCATAATGTTTGGCGCTGTTTCCATTGGTGCTGGGGGAAAATAAATCTTGGAATCTTGGATGGGTGCTAGGGTAGAGCCAGAATCTGGAGAATGCAGTTTTTATATTTAAA